AAGCGCGGGAACCCGCCCGGTGCCCCTGGTCTGCTGGAGACGGTCTCCAGCAGACCAGGGGCACCGGAGCAGCTTATGAATGGGGCTTTCTCGCCCCGACTTCCGGGGCGAGAAAGCCCCGTTCGTAAGTGCGGATCCGACATAAGTCGGATCCGCGTAAGTCGGGGACTGCCTGTAAATGCACTGACCAGTAGTCCAAGGCTATATACCAGGTAATATATTAAACATGTTTGTTATGCAGTATCTATATCAAAACATAATTTTAGTACATTTTAAAAATCCAATAAAAATAGTTTAGGTGAAGTTCAGCAGCAAGTAGACTCCAGCATAAAGCCTGTGCACTACTTAATACATTCAAATAGTTTATCTGGGACTTAAGGATTGCATAGGTCTTAACTGGATCTCTGCATAAAAAAAAATTACTTATAGTGACTTATAATATTTGGAGGAATTTGGCCCTCTGTAAAATTAGGGTAAACAAATTTGTGTTATGCTATTTGGTTGGAATATTCCTTGTGATTCCTGTGTAACAACTGGTTTACTTTCATAGACTTTGTAACTGCTGAGTTTTTCATTATTTTCACAGCAGGTGAGATTTCCCCGTGTTTTACATTTTTAATGTAGCATGTCTTGAGGGAGAGCTAAATTATAAATCTCCTTTTATAAACTTTATGTACAAGCAACAGTCTAACTGGGAAATGTAAAACTCTCTTTTTATGTACACAGATAGAGAAAGCAAGTCTGATACACAAGAATTGAAGAAAACTATAAGACGTAACAAACTTCATCCTAATTTTAGCTAGTTACAAAAAGGTTCTTTTATTTTTCCATTTATTTTATATTGCCTTTGGTAACCTGGGATTTCCTGCAAGTACTCTGTCTGCAGACACTTTTAACTCAGTGGCCTTCCAAGATGATTAGAGCTCCAAAAGAACTACAGACTACATAGGAGCTTAGTTCCTTTACTTTTGACTTCTCTCTCCAAGATGGTGGAAAACCCAGCCTTCTCGAGATGCATGTGTATTCTAAAATAGAGAACAGTGTTAGACTTTCTCCATGTAAAGTACCGAGGAAACCATCCTGGAGAGTTACAATAGCAATTTTTAATATCAGCATTAGAATATTTTAGTACAGCTTAACACAACTTTTCAGTACTTTTTTCATAGGAAGAAATTGAGCTTGAATTTTCTGATTTGCTGTTGCTTATTCTACATATTACATGTGCTTTTATATGCGCAGAACAAGGACACGTATATGCTGCTGGAGGTAACAGTGAAGGACAGTTGGGATTAGGTGACACAGAGGAAAGAAGCACGTTTCGTCTAATAAGTTTTTTTACCAACCAGTACAAGATCAAACAGCTGGCAGCTGGATCTTACACATCAGCAGCATTAACTGGTGAGTTCAACAGCAAATAACTAGTGCCTTTGCCATGAAAAGATAAAGAATAAGCAATATTGTTAACTTTCTTTTCTGATAGCCCTATTCACTCTGACAGAGGCTTTATAGCAAGACCTTTTGTTTTCCAAAAGCAGCAATTGGCAATGGAGACTTGATACATTCATGTGGTGGTAGAAAGGCTTTCAGCTATCTGATGCTAGGCCTCTTTTCTTCCTTTGCAATCTATTCATACTTCTTTCACAAATCCGACATTATAGCAGCCATCTCTGCATTGGTGGAATGAAACAGTCTGTGTACCAAGGCTGTAATTCCGGAGCGTATTCAGCTATTGGAAGATATAATAAGATGTGCGCTAGGCTGTTCTTTCTGCCAAGGGCTAAGGCTCTCCTGAGATTTGTGAAGCAACCATGCATCGTTCCAAATAATGTCCCAGGAACTGCTGTAGTTTGAGAGGTTATATGCAGAGCTAGCTTCCCACAATTTGGAATTGCTGTATAGAGAAGGCTGGATGGTGACTGAATGTAACTTCATCATTCCTTTGCCTTAGCTGCTCTTTGTTGCAGACATGGGTCCCTCTGTAGATAAGACTTGGTCTGAGATAAATAGGAGAACAGTTACTCTGAATGAAGTTGGGGTGGATGAGAGAGGGATAGGAGAAAGCAGAGAGACCAGGAGAGAATTAGTGGAGTGAGTGCAAATGCTGGGATCGAGAATCAGTTTGAGGGAAGGAAAAATGGGAATCCTATTGATGAAGCAAGTGGAGGCATGCCATCCTGAAGTAAGATTGTTCAGTAATGGTTAATTGACTAGTCGAATAGTCAATGGAATTTTCACTGACTACTCAACTAATCGATAGGCACTTCTGCATTCCTCTTTTGAAATGTACAAGAGCCCTTGCGTGCAGCCCGGAGCCAGCGGGAAGTCCTGCTGACTCTGTGCTGCATGTGGCATGCCAGTTTTGAAAAGCACAAGAGTCCCCAGTGCGGGCTTTTGTGCATTTCAAAGCAGCAGTGCAGCATGGAGCCGGGGGTCAGCATGGTACTCAGAGTCCCCTGCTGACTCTGGGTTCCATGCTGTGCTGCCGATTTAAAATGCCATGTGGAGCCGGGTTCAGCTGGGAACTCCTCAGCTGGGGACTCTCCAGCTGACCACAGGTTCGGCGCAGCATTTCCCCAGAACCCGGGGTCAGCTGGTGACTCCCTAGCTGATCCTGGATTCTGAGGGAATGCCACGCTGGAGCCTGGGATCAGCTGGGGAGTCCGCAGCCAACCCCGGGCTCAACGCACAGCTGAGCGCAGAATCAACTGTGCGGCGCTGCCCCTTTGAAACACGAAGGCGGCATTCAAAGCAGCAGTGCCACACAGTTGATCCCCGGGTCAGCTGGGGAGTACCCAGCTCACCCTGGCCTCCATGTGCGGCAGCGCCACACAGCTGATCCCGATCTCAGCTGTGTGGCGCTACCATTTTGATACACTGAGGGTATGAACTAGGGTGGTAGTGTAGTTTGAACTAGGGTGGTAGTGTAGACATACCCTGAGGCAGCGTTTCAAAGCAGCAGCGCTGCACAGCTGAGCAGTGATCAGCTGTGCAGTGCTGCCCCTTTGAATGCTGCCTCCGCTTTTCAAAGCAGCATTGCCGCACAGCTGATCCCAGGCTGAGCTGTGCTTTGAAATACTCCCTCTACCCCCCCTTTTCTGCCTCTTTCTGATAGAGGCAATGGGGAGAGGGGAGGAGGGGGGGAAGAGTCAACTAGTCCTTAACATCCCTATCCTGAAGTTTACTCATAGGAATAGGGACAAGCCTACTGCGTTCATTAGAATGCATGTACACAGACCACCAGCAACTTGTAAGTCTGACAGTCTCTAATTTTATTGCTTACTGGAGAAACATATGTGGAAATACATTTTAAATGTTGTACTGGTATGGTCTAATATCACTAGGTCATTAAATATTCCATGGCACATTTAAGAAGATTCTGGGGGATGGGATGCCTTGATATCCCTGGCTCTGTGATTTGCTGTGTTGAGTGGCAGTTGATAGCTGTTAAGCAACAGCTACATTTCAGTACTATCATACAACAGAGTGTGTGAACTGCCTCTGCATGATGGAAGCAACAAGTAAATGTAAATATTATTGTTAGCCCTGTTTTGGTTTTAAATCTGACTTTCTGCCATTTTATTTTAGAGGATGGGCAGCTTTTCGTGTGGGGTGACAATTCTGAAGGTCAGATTGGCCTGGCTGGTGAAGCCAGTGTATGTGTACCTTGTCAAGTGGATGTTGGAAAGCCGGTTTCCTGGATCTCCTGTGGATACTATCACTCTGCTTTGGTAACAAGTAAGATGATGATACATTATGTAATAGAGATAATAATACCTGTGGTTCTCTAACATTGGTCTTTTTCACCTGCCAAATTTCATTAAAAATAGCTAACAATACATTAAATACTTACCTCATAATCTATGCCACAAGTACATTATATAATTATAACTAGAAAGGAAAATGGTGTGTGTACTTGAGAATTAAAGGGAAGTCTTACAGGGAATATCTATTTAAAATGTGTTCCATACTGTGAAATTTGGGAAACTGATGGTCATTGGAACTTGATCTAACACTGGTTTTATTAACACTGCCTTCTAAATGCCTAAGTTGGTTGCAAATTAAGGCCCAGATTCACCAGGACCCTTTAGCTGCTTTGTGCTGCTCTGGGAACACAAACCTAATTGGTCCATGCACTCTGGCTACTTTGCTGTACCACTGAATTAAGTTAAAATTATCTTCAGATCATTACAAATATTGCATATTAGCATTCTTTGCCAATTTCTTTTTTCGTAAAGCTGCTTAAAATGGAACTAAGATTGAGAAGAAGTAGCAGTAATTTAGGGGTGAACAGTGTTTCAGAGTTGTTGTAATTATCCCCAAATCAGCACTATCAACCAGGAATTTCAGACTTCACTGGATGTTGAAATAAAAAAAATCCCAATTAAGGCATGCAAACAACCTTAAATTTGCTCTGTACCAGCATTATGAAAGGAAAGGGGGGAGTGAAGAGAAAAAACTTTATTGAAAAATCATTTGTATACCCTGTGCAAGATCCAAGCAGATTTACAATTGGAGTAGCGCATGGCTTGTTCCCTAATTAATTCCTCCAAGGAGCTGCTGGCAGGAAGAAATGCTGTATTTTACACGAACTTCTGGGAACATTCTGCTTTTCTGAATACTTCAGTACTTGTGGGTTCTCTGCTATCCTTTGCTATCCACTGATTGCTGTTGACACAATCCAGCCGCAAATAGATAAAAATGGAATTTTCACAAAAATGAAACATCAGTTCAGTAGAAAAACACAATGGGCCAAATACAGTCCTGGGCAACTCAGGTGATTTAAAGAGAATTGCTTCAGTGATTAATTTGACCCACAGCTCTGCAGACACAGTGTCTTGTAAAGGACTAGATTCTGAAGTCTTCATTCTGTTTTTAGCTATGCAAAACACTCACTGACTTTGTAACTCAGCAGGGAAAGGGGGAGCCATTGTATGGCTCAACTTGGCGGAGGAGGATGCAACTAAGCTGGGCTGCGAGAGGAGCCAGGAAGCCTTGGGGGAGAGGCAAGGCAGAGGGTGGGGCTGGCAGCAGGGTGGCCTTACAGGGCAAAATCGCTCATCCGGGACTACTCAGGTTCCAAGGGTGCTGGACCAGACAAGTCCAACATGTAAACAGTGCAGGTATTTACAGGCTAGTGTTTTGGAGTCTGTGGTCTGCATTTTTCAAGAGTGTTTAAAAAGTAGTTTTATGAAAGTGTGTTTTGAATTCAGAGTATTTGAATATGATCCTTTAGAAGGGTTTTCAAAGTTGTCACGTGTCCACTCATGTAAGCTGCTAGGAGGCACTTTATGTAATTGTAAGAGCACTGTGGTTCGCCGTTTCCAGCCATGGGAAGCTCCAGGAAGCAGCAGCCTGTCCCATACCGCTTCCCACAACTCCCCTTGGCTGCAAACAGTGAACTGCAGCCAATGGGAGCTTTGAGGATAATTAGATCAATACAGGGTCTTGCAGCCTGCCAGCAGCTTACCCATGCGGGCTTGCAACCCAACTTTCAAAACTCCTGCTTTAGAGTCTAACATTTGCTGTGTTTATCAGTATTGCCTTTTAATTCTGTAAATGAGGTTTATTCATGCTTAAGTTTATTTGGCTATAATTATGGAAGAATTAGCATATCTCAGAAATGTACTCTAGATAAGTATCTATAATTAGGTTTTAATAATGGGTCAGTTGCCAAGTGTTCTAAGTAATAGCTACAGTCTCATAATTAACACATTTCCCTGAACACCTAGCCTTTAGTCTAAACATTTATTTTTTTTGGATTTGCTTCATAAGAGAAGTTTATTTATCCTCTTATTTTGGTAAATCCATCTGTGATTAAAAACAAAATCAAGTTTTTTTTAGAGAATACATACTTCTATGGTGATCCTTTCTGCCAGTTTCCTACCTCACCTAGTTGTTCACCACTCCCACTGACTTCGATCGATGACAATTGAATGTGATTGAGTAAGTGGCGAATGTTGCCCAAATGTAAATTACTAACCAGTCTTACTTCTGGAAAGATTAAATGACTTTGTATAAAGTTTGCTTGATATAAAGGCCCTGTGCATGATAACTCGATAATAGTAATAATATGTAACACTCTAGTTGACTTCAATAGTGATTAGAATGGGAGTTGTGATACCTTGGGATCTCTAAGAATCAAGTGTTGTTTTGCTTTTCTTCTTGAGAGACTCCTAGCATAGGGAAATGCTCTTGTTTTCTTGAATTTATATTTTTTTAAATCCAAAAAGCAAAGGGTAGTCTAACAGTTGTGAAATCATGAGAAAATAACTTGGCCCAGCCCTGCCTTTTTAGTGAAGTACAGGCAGTCCCCGGGTTACATGGATCCGACTTACATCGGATCCCTACTTACAAACGGGGTGAGGCAACCCCACACTAGCTGCTTCCCCCCAGCAAACCAGGGAGACGCGAAGCTAGCACCTCCCTCTTCCCCCCAGCAGACCAGGGAGACGCGGAGCTGCTTTTCTCAGCAGACACCTCAGCTTGAGAATAAAGGACTGAGGGAAGTGAGGTGTGGGAGAATAAAACTGAGCTCTGGAGAAATGTTTGGCTAGAGTTTCCCCTACAATATGTACCAGTTCCGACTTACATACAAATTCAACTTAAGAACAAACCTACAGTCCCTATCTTGTACATAACCCGGGGATTGCCTGTAATATGAATCCAGCTCTGTTTTGTATTTCCACAGGAGATGGTGAGCTCTACACTTTTGGAGAGCCTGAGAATGGGAAGCTGGGTTTGTTGCCTGAACAACTGAAAAATAATAGGGTTCCACAGCCTGTTCCTGGAATTTTAGAAAGAGTTAATAAGGTTGCTTGTGGGGGAGGACATACAGTGGCACTTACAGGTATGCAAACTGGTTGACTTTTCTCTGATCCTGGAGTTAAAAAATAACTTTGCATGATAGAACAAACACTCTTGCAAAATGTCAAATAATGCCTAGCCAAACTTTTGTTTTCTCTTATTTGATGGAAAAAAACCACAAATATCATTTTTAGTGAGGTTTCTAAGAAAGCCTCCTTTTTGTAAATGACCTTGAATATGAGGTAATTAGCAAGTCACTTTTCTGACTATAACCACTCTTTAATGGCTGTGAAGAAAAAAGCATGATCCAGGACTGAGATCCAATCCAGGACTGGGATCCAGTGTTTCCGCTATTCTTTTCCATGCATGTGAGGATTTTTTTCTGTCCGGCTACGTCTAGACTGGCATGATTTTCCGGAAATGCTTTTAACGGAAAAGTTTTCTGTTAAAAGCATTTGTGGAAAAGAGCGTCTAGATTGGCACGGACGCTTTTCCGCAAAAGCAGTTTTTGCGGAAAAGCATCCGTGCCAATCTAGATGCGCTTTTGTGCAAAAAAAAGCCCTGATCGCCATTTTCGCGATCAGGGCTTTTTTGCACAAAACAAATCTGAGCTGTCTACACTGGCCCTTTTGCGCAAAAGCTTTGCGCAAAAGGACTTTTGCCCGAACGGGAGCAGCATAGTATTTCCGCAAGAAGCACTGATTTCAGACAGTAGGAAGTCAGTGTTCTTGTGGAAATTCAAGCGGCCAGTGTAGACAGCTGGCAAGTTTTTCCACAAAAGCAGCTTGCCAGTCTAGACAGCCTCCATGTTTTGAATACTTTTGTATGTGCACGAAAGCATGTACAAATGTGCACCACTAGTAAAAACAAAAAACCTAACTGTGGGTGTTTTGCTAATCAGTTGGGCAGCATTTGAATCTCTCCTGAGTTGCCACAAAAGCACACAGCCTACAAGGAACACAGCTGCTTTCTAATCTACTCTTGGGGGAACTCTGCTCAATGTGGATGTGCAGAATTCATGTTCCCAACAAAATAATTTTTGCCCCAGAAGTGTTGCTGTTCCATCTTTTTCCCACCAGAGGCCTCTTAAAAGCAGCCAGCTGTTCTGGCCCACAGCAGTTTCTGGTGTGCGAAAGGTGGAATTGTGTAATACTTCTGGGAGGAGGGAGGTAGGGAAATTCTGTGTGTGCCTACCGTTACAGAGTTCACTTGGGAGTAGAAGTTCATCACAGCACCCTGCTTGCAGACCCAGGTTAAGACCGAGGCCTCCTGGGGAAGAGGGGAGGTGTCATAGACTGGGGACTGAAGTTCAGAATGGCAAGTGGAGGTTCAGACTGGGGCACAGGCTCAAGAACTAGTGGGGTGACATTGTTGAGCTTGGTAACAGGAAGGTTAAGAGGGTGCAAAGACACATGGGGGTAGGAGTTGTGGGGACAGGGACACATATGTCAGACTGAGTGGGAGAGTCTTGGAGTCAGTCAGGGTCTGCATGGGAAAGACACCCCATAAACACCCTAACAATCCTGCCTCTCCATCTGCCTACTCCAAATATCACTGTTCCATATTTCTCCCACCCATACCTTACAACCCTCCCGGTTTACTCCAGACTCCTTCCCTCTCCTTCAGCTCCTCTGTTACCCCAACTCTTACAAGCCTTTAGGGATGTTAAATATCAGTTAATTAAGTAATCGAGTAGTCAATGGAATTTCCATCAACTACTCGATTAGTCGGTAAGATGGGGACACTTTGAATGTATTGAAAGTGCAGAGCTGCAGTGGGATTAGTTCCTGGGGGCAATGTGAGCTGGGACTGAACAGCGCTGCCCCCAGGACCACTACGGCTCTGCCTCTCCTGCCCTCTTCCTCCTCCTGCCCTGCACCGCGGAGACAATATTAAGGGGAACCAGCTTTTAAGTTGGCTCCCCCCAGCACCGGCTCCTGCTCCCTCCTTTGCTGCATCTGATAGAGAGGCAATGAGTGGAGCGGGGAGCCTATGCTTATTGGGTAGTCGCTTGACTACTTGACTAGTCGCTTATATACCTACAAGCCTTTGCACTGTTTCTGACCGTTTTGTATTGTAATGTAAAAGAAATACTCAAAGTTGTGCATTAATATGCCTAGTAAGGAATTTATTTGTCAGAATCTTTTTTTGGTCTGTGTTGGTACAGATATTCTTGCTTACATATATCTTGAAATAAATTATCAAAATAATTGCTACTGGCATGATTGTATTGTTATTTTGACAAAATATACAACATTTAGCAGAATCTTAAAATATTGTGTGCAGAATTTTCAATGTTTTGGTGCAGAATTCTCGCAGGTGTACTAATCCTAGTTCCAATGTAGTCCTGCTATGGTTTTATACACAGTACTTAATGTCTCTGCCTCCATATGTGATGCTATTATATAATACCTCTCAGGGATTCTTTGAGAATGTATTCATTGTTTGTATAGTGCTATGAAGTCTAATACACAGTGTAGGCTATTGCTAAACTAACTTTTCAAACAGAAAAATTACACTACTAGCTCTTCACTTTCATATTTCTAACTTTTGGCATTTTTATTTGTTTTCTTTATTCTTACTGAATTCTTAAATTAGATCATTCAGTGTTTGTTCTAGTTATACTTCAGCTCAATCCTGCAAATATCCCACTTTCCTGGGAGGAACAGAAGCTTCTTGGGTGACTGGAACCAGTGCCTTCAGTTTATATAAAATCTAAACTTTTAGCTAAAACAAAAGAGGAATAAAATTCTCTCTCATGGTTTCATAGACTTTATGGCCAGAAGGGATCATTGTGATCACCTAGTCTGACTTCCTGCATATTTCAGGCCACAGAACCTCAGTCACCCACTCCTTTAATGGACCCATAACCTATGGCTAACCTACTGAAGTCCTCAAATCATGGTTTGACTTCAGGTAACAGAGTATTCACCATTCACACTAATTAAAACCTGCAAGTGACCCATGTCCTGCCCAGAGAAAAGCTTAAAAAAAACAAAAAAAACAAACCCAGGGTCTCTTGCCAATCTGAGTTGAGAGAGAATTCCTTTCTGACACCAAATATGGAGATTTGTCAAACCCGGAGCACGTGAGCAAAACCCACCAGGCACATACCTGGGAAAGAATTCTCCGTAGTAACTCAGCGTCTCTCCCCATCTAGTGTCCCATCTCCAGCCACAGGAGATTGCTGCTAGCAGTTGCAGATCTGCTGTATGTCCTTGTAGGAAGTCTTATCATGCCATCCCCTCCATAAACATATCAGGCTCAGTCTTGAAACCAGTCAGGTGTGTTTTGTCCCTACTTCTTTCCTCGGAAGGCTGTTTCAGAACTTCACTTCTCTGATGATTAGAAATCACTTAATTTCAAACCTAAACTTGTTGATGACCAGTTTATAGCCATTCATTCTGGAGTCTACATTGATGCTAAACTTAAATAACTCTTTTCCCTCACTGGTATTTATCCCTCTGATGTATTTATAGAGAGCAATCATATCTCCCTTCAACTTTCTTTTGGTTAGGCTAAATAAGTCAAACTCTTTGAGTCTCCTAGCATAAGGAGGCAATATAATGGACAATTGGGAAATATAATGGAATTAACTGACATTCAGCTGCCTAAAATGATCTAGCAATGTTAGTTTTCCTGAAAAGAGAAGAAAATTCAGGCAGTGTGCAGAGTTTATTTTCAAAGGTCTCCTGAAATTCAAAGGAAAATGAGGAAAATGAGAGTTATAGGCTAATCTGGATGGGGAAGGAATATTTGTAATATTTTGATAGCTCTCCTTTGAGCTCTCTTGTTATAAAAAAAACAAACTCCTCAGATGTGCCTTCATGCTTCATACCCAACCTGTATCCTTCTAGAAATCTCTGTCCATCAGGGAGTACATGGATCTCATCTTGAGCAGTGGAGCACTCTTCTAAGGAATCATGGTTCCCCTACATCCTCATTTCCTCTAGCTATGGACACTGCAGATCAAAAATGTGAAAATTACCTGGATTCTTTGACTACCATTGCTTTATCTGTAATCTCAGCTACCAACTTCGAGGTGAGGCTTAGATGTACCTATTGACAATTGTATGAAGGTGTAGATCTCATGAATAATGTGATAGTGAGGAAGAAAGATTGAGGTCTTTGATCATTTGCCAAATGTCCCCCCTCCGCATGCTCAAAGCCAGACTGATGAAAAGAAATCTCAAACATTGACTCATAAGTCTAGACCCTATTACCAGAAGCACAGTTATGCTGCTTGTACTTTTGTTTTTCTGCTGTCAAACAGAATGCTTGATGGTACACTTGAGTCCTAATTCAAGCCTTCTTGAACATATCCCCTTTTAAAAATTTTTTGGGGGACCATCTTTATCCTATTAAGGTGGCATGGTATGGAATCTTGTTCAACTGTAAGTGCTCAAGATAGTTTGAAACAGTTTTGCTATGCCTTTGCACTCTAGCCACCAAAACTACCTCCCTTTCTTACCCATTTACAGGTATTCCTTTCATGAGGAATTGCTGAGAAGGATATAGTCATAACCCTTCTGTCCTGAGTAGAGTTACAGAAGTTATTCCTCAGCAGAATCAGAGAAAGAGGTGCTCTTTCCAGTACTACTTTCGCCCTAGTATTTTTGCTGGGTTGGTGTTTTTTCTATTACCGGCTCAAACACTCAGCAAATGCAGTATAGAGGTCTAGGCCTCAATAATTGCATTATAAATCTAAGTGATGGTTTCCTGACATTTGTTTTTATGTATTCCTTAAAGACTGCTCACAGGAAATATTCTTCTTTTCTGTGTTGGAGAGGATCATTACAGGCAGTCCCCGAGTTATGCGGATCCGACTTATGTCGGATCCGCACTTACGAACGGGGCTTTCTCGCCCCGGAGCTTGCAGGCAGCGGGACCGCCCAGAGCGCAGCAGTCCCGCCACCTCGACCTCCGGGGCGAGAAAAGCTGCTCCGGGTGCCCCTGGTCTGCTGGGGACC